TGTCATATGCATGGGGGAGAGCGTCCGGACATAGAGCATCCGCGACATGCAGTTGAACTGTGCCCTTGTGTCATATGTATGGGGGAGAGCGTCCGGACATAGAGCATCCGCGACATGCAGTTGAACTGTGCCCTTGTGTCATATGCATGGGGGAGAGCGTCCGGACATAGAGCATCCGCGACATGCAGTTGAACTGTGCCCTTGTGTCATATGTATGGGGGAAACCGTCCGGACATAGAGCATCCGTGACATGCAGTTAGGAGTCCTGACTTAGCATTTTTTGCTAATCAAATTTATAAAATCATTAGAAAGAATCAGCAAAACTTAGAAAAAGAAAAGTAGATCACAATGATGATAAAAGCACATTTCAATAATAGATAGCAAGCTCTTCAAGGCACCTGTAATTCCACCGACTTTTTCGAGGCTGCTCTTGATCTTCATAACCTCAAAGTCATACTTGAAGAATATCCTGGCCTACAAGTTGATAATATTCTGGAATAGTCTAAATAAAAGGGTGGTTGGAATGGCCTTGTCTTAAAAGAACAAAATCATGAAGACTGCCTTTATTCAATAGACACTTGTACGGCACTATCAGCAATCATGTCAGTACTCCTTTATAATCCCGTTCAATGTCGAGGACTTGGTAGCCACCCACCAGAAGCTCATATAAAGATTCAGAAGTGGTCAAAATATCAACTGATTCCTGGAAATGCTAAGGAAGGTTCGTCAAGATCCGAATTTTCCGCCGTGATTTTGAACTCGAAGCAATGGCAATTTCCTTTTTTCATTGTTGAATTTGAACAGCACGGTTTTGAGGTTCACAAGGATGTCGCAGTTGTTCGCGAGGTTGCCTGCTGAAATAATTCGAATTAAGATATATGTTGGACTCATTAACGATGCATCTATTAGAATGATTGTGATCAGATCAATATTAATAATAGTAAGATGGTGGTACTTTTTGTATATGATCAGGACATCGTTTCTTATAGCATTCAAATAGGTTGTCAATACGATGATGTAAAAAATGTTCTTGATTTAATAGTTTATTTTCGGCAAATTGTGTGCAGAGATCAAGGACTTCCTGGAAAAATCGGCAACTCAGTATAATCAAAGTATTTTGAAAGCAATGCCAAAACTCCCAAGACAGCAGAAAAATTTCGAGAAGCGCTCATTAAGATAACATCTAAAAAAAGTGGGTCAAGTATATATACCAATTAGATTGAAAATCGAAGATAATAATGTATATAGTGTAATGTGGGTGAATAAATATTATGATCGTCAATAATGTGCCTGTGTTGCCTCGGTCGTGCAATCTAATTTTTTTAATTTACAAAATTTCGAACGTAACACCAATTCGAGTTATTTATTACAAATCCTTGTAATGTAGTCACTGTTAAATTTTTAAACCCGTTACCCACTGATAATTAATCGCATAAATAGAATCAGGAATGATAACCAAACAGTTAATTTGGAATGGGTAACTCATTCAGAAAATAACAACCGTAAAGTATTTCCGAATCCGAGTTGTGTAGAAAACGTCGCACGGGAATATCATTCAGATTTGGGATTCTATCGTTCTCGCAAGTAATACTCTTAAAATAGACGAAAGTATTATTTCAAATTGTTGTAGTAGGTGGCTAGTTGATGATATTGGATGTAGAATATTATCCTTAAAGATCCTTAGATGCTGGGATTTCCGATTTAGAGACTATCGTGTTCATTTGGTAGCATTAACATTTTGTCTGAAAGAAAGAGGAAAAGAATATGTGAATCATATTGACTAGAATCCTACTAACAATAAAGCGTCCAATCGTCTAATCTAGAATATGCTGTAAAAGTCCGGGCGCAAGAGGAGAAATAAATACTTACGTTATGATTCCTTATAAGATGTTATATTTATTCTTACTTTGGTATCCCGTATAGCTGGTTTCAAATCGTTACAATGTGATATTTTTCATAGAATTATATAAGAAAATAATCTGTCGTATTTACGTCGCATCTTCACCGCATCTAGTGGAGCTAGCGTCGTCAAGACATAATTAATGGGTAGACAATTGCACATCTCGGATGAGCAGAGTTTAAGTTGCGGAAAAATTCTCCCCGTGCGTCACTCGTGCTGTCCATCATGTATTATTTAATTAATGATTTTAAAATAAAAATATCTATTTTTTTTAACAAGACAAAATGATTATTATATCTTTTTATTTTATTATAAATTTAAATTTAAACAAAGCAATATTACAATTTTTTTAGATAATATATGTCTCTTTATCAAGAAAAGCTTAACACAAGACTTAAAAATTGATCTACTTATTTATACTCCTAGCATTATTTAAGAATATAGTAAAGTGAATTTCAAAACTCTATATTAAGTCTTAACTATCTAAAAATAATTGAATAATTAATTATATGAAGATATTGCAATCATATTATACATTTGATCTTCAAATTATAATACAATATACAGTATAATAAATAAAGGTAAAATTACTTTATATAAATTGATTTTCGAGTTACAAAAAAATTTTGATATATTTAAAAAAAAATAAAAAAAAAAATTTGATATATTTATTTTCAAATATAGTATAAATATTTAATACATAAAATTTGGTTTTTTTTTATAAATTATTGATATTACGCATTATACAAAAATCTATCTTATTAAAAATAAACAAAAAATTATTATTATTAATTCTATTTATAAAAATAATTAAAATTTTTAATTATTACTTATCAATCTATTGAATTTTTAATGATCAGTATAACATATTTAAAACTTTTTATACTGATATTAATTATTATTTTTTGAATATTATAAGATAAAAATAAATCTTAAAATTGAAAAGTTATATCTTATAATCAAAACTTTTATAATAAAAACTAAAAAAAATCAATATAAATAATAAATTAATATAAATAGAAAAAATTAATATTATTTATATTGATTTATTTTAGCAACCAACTATTTAATTTAGATGAAAATTTTATGTTATAAATTGTATAACATTAAAATTTTATTAAAATTAAACTGTTGGTTCTTGAAAAATTTATTAAAAACTTAAATATATTCTTATAATTATGTAATCTTCAAATTAAATAATTAGATTTTTTTATATATTAAAAATATCAAATATTCTAATAATAAAAATTATTGATTGACCTGTGAATCTGTAGTATAATAGTTAATACTTCACAGGTCAAATCACAAAATACCAGTTCAACCCCATGTAAAGATAATTGAATAGAATTAATATAATATTTGACATCATAACTTGTTAAGCGCTGTTTCTTATAAGAAGCCATTTCATACACTGATTCAGCAAGTGTTGAGATTGTGATTTCCAGAAAAAAGTATTATGATGTGATGATTGTTTGATTAATGTTATAATGATCATTGCCAAATTTGGTGCAATTCCTGGTTCCACAATAAGCCGTTTCCCTTTCTTATAGTCCATAAGACTATAAAAAAATATAATATAGAGAGCTACAAACTGGAAAACTATTCAACAAGACTTTTAACATGACTCTCCTTTCTGTATAAGTAATGACTCACCAGCAATACTCACCATTCTTACCTGTAGTGAAGGTACTTAGTTGGTAACGATTGGCAGAATGGAAGACTCTCTTTAAGACTTAGCTTAACTTTGAAGGTTTTATGCCCTCTTAAATAAGCAGCCTATGCTTGAAGCCTAGCATTATCTAAAAGGAATTGAATCGTCAACTCTGCCATAGGTTTAAAGATATTGAAACAAACTCTGGCCATAAGGTTCTATCCACTTCTCTAAAATAGTGACAATTTGAGTCTAGTGTTTTATAAAAGATGAACAATCAGAAAAAGATAGAGACACAGTACTCTGATAGGTAAAATTCATTGGTATTAATGATGCTTACTGGAAAGTTTACAAATTTAAGGCTGGAAGATATAAGAAAATCTTATAGATAGGTGTATCCAGATAGTATACCTATAGGTGAATTCTAATTATAACAATTTGAAATATAAATATAAATATACAGTTTAGAACAAAAAAACTGGCACTTGGTTTTTTTTATTAAAATTAATAATTTTATTTATTAAATATAAAGAATAATTTTTATTAAAACTATTTTAGTTTTATTAAAAATTTTTTTTAAAAAAATTAATTTAAATTATTATGTTATTCTTTTTAAAATCTTTTGTATTAAAA